AAGAGTGTTTTGATGGATTTTGCTGTTACATGCACCCCAGCTCTGAGCACAGTATTTTATCGTTTCCTTTTCTATAACACCATGAACAATGTAGAATGCTCAGTTCATACATGAATTAACATCACGTAATGTGACATAAACACGATTTTTCCTACATGAGCACCAAACTGCCGGCAAACATGGTGAGAATTATCCATCCTGGTCCTCCACAGAGGCTGTTGTTCAACTCACCCACCCCATTTATTGTGCCATAAATCACACTGGCTGTGAAAACACATCTGAGCCCCCCTGATAAATGTGAGGTCACATCGGTGCTTGTCGTCCATGCTCTGCAGAATAAAAAAAAAACAAGAACTGTAATTTGGCCGGTATCACTGTGCCTGTAGGTCAATTTGAGAATCTAATCATCCATCAGCATTAACTGTAAATGAAAGTATCCTCAAACCACTAGAAGCAGGTTATTGTGTTTCCCATAGCACTCATACCAGATATATTCTGTAGTAAGCATGTGATTGTGCATAAACATATCACAGTATCACACTCTGACACATTCTGCTTATCCTGGCAGCATCAGATAACCTCAGGTCTGCTGCATTTATGCTAAAACTACACAGGCAACACTCAGAGGGCCCGAGCGCATGAACAGTGTAGGCAAGCCAAGCTACTTAATGAAGGAGTCGGGTCCAGAAGTGGACACATTGCAGCTGTATGTTGACACTTAGTACACAGATGCAGCGAGTTGCTTGTTACTGTGACCTGACATTGCCAGTCAGTATTTCTGTATCATAGTCAGGCCAGGACAAAAGAACAAGAGAACTTTTCACTCCTTAACTACAAATCATGTAAGTTTTAGTTTTGTGTGACCATTTGTAAATGCATGCTGTAGTTTTTTTTTTTATATTTCTCCTACTGTGGATTTTTTGTTACTAATTAATTTCCATACATTTAGCTGACTTTTGAAATGTGGTTAAATTGTGCAGTCGACCCACAGCAGATTCAAGTCTTAGCTGGTTTTTGTCAGTTTTCTCTTTATTTCAAACCAGTCAGCAGACTCAGCAGGCTGATGAAACCTGTTTATCCAGTATAACTGCAGATTGATACGAAACGTCTGCACTGCATCACCTCATTCTGACTATGTCAGATGTCAGTATAGACTCACTGACACAGCAAATTTCAGCAGTTTGCTAATAAAATTTCAACCACCGTGTTAATGAATGGAAACCACTGGATGCTTTGAATGGTGGAAAGAAATTAACTAATTAAAAACCAAATTAGCTGAATCAGACTTGTACTGTAAGAGAGCACACAGTTCAAACATGTTTCAACAGTCAGCCAAAACATTTTTATAGTGTGTAGGGTTTGGATTTTCTAAAAGATCAGAATATTACAAATAATACAAATTTCCAGACTTACCAGTGAAGACCAAATATGCACAGTGTACAGTGATATTAATTCCTAGTGTTTACTTTAGCTATCATTAATCATGTCTATTTATCCCATCGCATCTAAATGTGTTTTATAGGCTACACTATTACTTATTATGATAATAATCCTCTATAGCCTACATTCATTATTGTCTATTCATATAATTATGCATAACTTAATATTTTTTGATTTCATGGATAGAAATAAGAATTCAGAGCTTTTACTTAGGTAAAACTAGTACCACTAGTGCATATGAATAAGAAAGAAAAATGTACTTATGTATTAGAAATAAAACTACTGCTTCAGTAAAATTTGCTGTTTATTTTCTCAGTTACTAATCGTTCAGTTTGTTTTTTTTAAAAAGAATCAATAAACACTAAGTGCACACCAACACAATGCTTGTTTTGCCCAAACAACAGTCAAAAGTAGGGTTTATATTATATAAACAAATATCTCAACTATTATAAAAAAAAAAATTTGCCAGTTAATTTTCTTTGTAGTTTAGTCTCCTAATCTTTTCAGCCGTACTTGGTACAGTAGTTTAATTGATAAAAAAACATAATATTTTATGATTTAGGTCAGTGGTCCCCAACCTTTTTATCACTGCGGACCGGTCAACGCTTGACAATTTTACCGCGGCCCGGGGGGAGGGGGGGGATTACGTAGATTGTTTATATAATAATAAACGTGAATCCACTGTGTTGCGATTTTTAACTCCCCATAACGCTAAAACAATGGGAGCCCTGAAGTTGTTTCTCTACAACGATACGGTCCCATCTGGGGGTAATAGGAGACACTGACACCCGAAGTGTGTTGCTTATGTTCAGTCTACTCCGTTGTTTTGTTTTGGTTGCTGTCACTGCAGAAAAACCCGCTTCACACAGATAGGATGTCGGAAATGGCAACAGGGTTTTCAGTGCTGTGGTGGCGATCTCAGGGTATTCTGTCATGACTTTAATCCAGAACACCGGCAGAGTTGTTGTCTCGAACATACTTTTAAGGCCGCCGTCATTTGCGATCTCCAGCAGTTGATCTTCTTCTTGCACAGACCTGCTGGATTCACCTGGTTTGTTGACAAATGGGTTGCAGATCCATTCCTTGGCAGTTCGTGGGTCCTTTGTGGTTGGGAAGTAGCGCTCGAACTCTTTTAAAAGCAAAGACAGGTGATCGTGCACCAGCTGGGAGAATGAAGGCTCAGGCTCAGTCTCACCCAAAATCCCCACTAATGTTTGAAACATGTCCTAATATTTGTCTTAATGTGTAATGTTATGTCAAATTGTTTTAGATACACACCACGAAAACAACAGCCACACACATTATTTTCTTCATGTTTTGTCTACTGCTCTGCTCAGCTGCCAAGCTGGCATATCAGGTGACGTCACGGTTTGACGCCCTGCGTAGTATGGGCTAGCCCAGAAATGATTAATATTGTATAGCAATTCTGGGTTCGGGGTCTTTTTCTCCTTCCGGGCTGCTTGGGCAGGCTGGGGGGTGGAAGATGCCTGGACGTGTAATGTTAATTCTTGCTTGTGACTCTTTGAATAAACCAGCACAGTTATATTTTTTATATATCCAAGTGGTCTGAGTCGTCCCTCTGAGTTCCTGGTTTGAAAGAACCGGACGGGGCTTTATAATAGAATACAGCCTTTACTTTAAATGCAGCTACTTTATCTGCCAACTTGAAGACAGTTGTCATTTTCCCCTGAAGTGACAGATTGAGTTCATTGAGCAGGCTGAATATGTCCACAAGTAAGCCAGTTTTGGCGCTCATGTGACCGAGATGTAACCGAGAGAATACGGTCATTTTTCAAAATAAAAGATCGTTCAGACTCAGATAATAAATAAAACGGAAATAATTAATGATTTCCTGTGCGGCCCGGTACCAATTGATCCACGGACCGGTACCGGTCCGCGGCCCGGGGGTTGGGGACCACTGATTTAGGTTGTTGTATCTAAAGCTCTCAGATAACTCCTGAAGTAAAAAGTACATTTCCCTCTCATGTTTTAATGGACTATCAGCGGCATGAAAAGAAAATACTAAAGTAAGTAAAGTAATAAAGTAGGTTACTTCATACTGTACTTTGTTACATTCCACCCTCGAACTTAAGGTCATGTTCAGGTTCATGTTAGGGACATTAATGAACTCTGGTGTAAACACGGCGGGAAAAGTGAGGCAGGAACAGACCGGTTTTGACAGCTTACTTCATAATTTCTACTGAATCGGTGTGGCAACGGTTTCCCGTTGATCGGCACATGTTGGCTATAAATTCTGTTATAGTGTCGCGCGCTCTTTATCCCAGCTCGGCTCGCGCACATCGAGAGGACGCGCCAATCCAAGCACCAACCGCTTCTCGACCGTTTCTCTCTCTCTCTCTTTATAATTCCGTTTTATTTTTATTTTTTTCTTTTTCATTTCTTTCTCACACGACAGGAGTTAATTCATACTCGGTACCATGCAACGTTTCTATGGAACCTCGCATCTGTTATTGACTCTTCTGCTACAGCTGGTACCTGCGCAGGTAATTAACGGACACCAAGACGCGGGCTGTTTGATTTGCCAGTAGCTAATTAATGTCAATTTGTCAGCTGTTTTGAAATATTTGTGCCATTTATTATTTTACCTAAATGTAATCAATTAGAAACTTAACTTATATGGTATTTTGCATGCATAGGGATGCTGAAGACAGAATTATGGTTTTTCTTTTCTCCTCAACTCCAAACGCGACTCAGAAACAGTGGAAGTAGTAATAGGAGTCACATTTAAATGGCAGACACATTTGTTTCACACGCCTTTTTACACCCTATCTGGGTTTAAGAGCATCTGACGCAAGGCAGGACGGACACAGGTTGCAGGGTGGCACGAAAAGGGTGGCTCTAAAAGTAGTGCATGCTCACTTAGAGCAAACATAAAATTCCCACAAAGCTATTAAGAACTGCCTCGGATTACTATGTTCCCATCAGTGTTCTCAGAGTGAGAGGAAAGCAGGAGAGCAGGGAAGAGTCAGAAAGAGATAGTTGACATTCAAAAGAGAAAACGAGCCAAGATCAACTTCGCGCTTGTGTTTGTGCTCAGTTTGTTGTTAAAGCATAGGGATCATTGCCATTGTAAGTTTGGCTGTGTTGTGAGAACAAAATTCATGCTGTCAGATACTTTTCAGTACTGCCTTTGCTTTTGCTGTGTTTATTGTCCAAATAAACTCCCATGAGTTAAGGCAGTATCTATTCTTTGTTGTTATTCTTTGGGTTTTGCTTCTTGTGAAAATAAACCTTCCAGTATTACAGTAAATTAATAAATCAAACATACTTTAGTTGTTGCCAGGCTTTCTGGTGTGAAAACAGCAGCGTAGTGATGCCCTCCCGCTGCATCAGTGTTTTTACTGGATTGTTGTGTTTGCACTGCCTCGTCTCTGCCACAAGAGGGAGCTCTAAAACTGTTCAATGAACCCATTTGGTAGCCACTTTTATTGTGTTCATTTCTCAGCTCAGTTAGTTTCTGGTTGTCTGCAGGCTCTGTACCATTACAACCGTATTTGGCATTGACCTTATCAACAACATCAAATGAAACTGAAACACTGATCTCTGTAGATGTCAATTTGTACTTATTTTACAATGTTTTACAATTTTACAATGCAGATTTCACCCACTCCAGAAGACGATGCTCCCAAAGGTGAGGGCTCTGCTCTTGATCATGCCCCACTGAGTAGGATTTTCCACCTGCTGTAAATGATTTAAATACTAAAGATTCAACTTGTTCTGTAGAAATGACATTCCAGGAGGTGTGGGCAAAGAGCACGTGTCAGCCTATGGAGCTCTTGGTGGATGTGGAGCAAGAGTTCCCTGGAGAAGTGGGGTACATCTACATGCCTGCTTGTGTCCCACTTTTGCGATGCTCTGGTTGCTGCGGGGATGAAAACTTGGAGTGTTATCCTACCCTTAAACGCAACATCACCGTGCAGGTCTAGCAAGACTTGTAACTGAAGGAAGAAGTTATACGTAAATGCACATTGTCTTTATGCTAAACATAGAAGCCTATAAAAAAAATCTTTCCCTTGTTTCCCAGATGATGAGGATCACTCCCCAGATATCTAATAAACATGTGCAACTCACATTTGTAGAGCACCAGAGATGTGATTGCAGGTAAATTCCAGATAGCCAATTCTTCCTAATAAACACCAGGTTCAATTTGAGATTTTAGATTTTTTTATTATTACTATTATTTTGCACAGCTAATTACTAGTTGCTTCTGCCTTTCTTCCTGTTTTAGAGCCCGTCCGAAAATTAAAAAGAATAAAAGGTCAGTAGAATGACATTGCATATTGTATGGGGGCAGCTGTGGCCCATGAGATAGAGCGGGTCATCCCTAATCGTAGGCAGTTCGATCCCCGGCTTCTCCAGTCCACATGTCAAAGTGTCCTTGAGCAAGACACTGAACCCCTACTTGCTCTTGATATCACCAGTGTGTGAACGTTTGTGTGCGAATGGGAAATAGTGTAAAGTGCTTTGAGTGCACTTCACCATGTGGAAAAGTACTACACAAGTACAAGGCTATTTACATAAACGCATCAGTATCTTCAATGCACTTTCATCTTCCCTCACAGAGGCAGTGTGTCTACCAAGAGTAACCCTCGGAGGATGAAACCCAAGAAGACAGCAAACAGCTGTGGCAAGTAAGAGAAGGAACTGCCCCTCTGTGGGTCTCTCTCACACACAAACACACACACACATACATTTTTATAATGTTTGGACTTTACTGCTACATTTATTTGTGTTTCCTCCACTCAGACAACAGAGGGACAGCATCACAACATATTATGTTGTGTATTGCTCTTATCTCTGGTAGGCCTGTAGTCCACTGACAACTTATAAGGACCTTGTGTTTCTGTGCAGGGCCACAGAGAATATATAGCACAATAATCCAAGGCTCCAACCAGGGACTGCCAGTGTGAAGGTTTAGTCTGAAAATAACTAAATCCACATACCTGGAAAACAACATCAACTTTGATATTGTTTGTCTGTGGCTGCTTTTCACATCCTGTAAAGATCAACATGTGTCTCTCTGTGTTTCTCTCCTATATTCTTCTCTTTTATTTGACAAGGGCAGTTGTTGTATAAGCAGCTGTGAATTATTGTACAATAAAGATATGATCAAAAACAATGAGATACCCAAAATAAGTACTGAAAGGGCTACAAATATAAATCTGTTAACCTGTCAGTAAGAAGTACTACACTAACAGCCAGTGAAAACAGTTGCTGAATGTCTTCTTTGGCTTTGAGGGGGCTTTGTAAAGCCTGTGAAAACAACCCTGAGGGTGTCATCAGGTCTGTGATCAGGCTCTGCCTTAGAGACAGCAAATGTGTAACAGAAAGCCTGTGTTAACCAGGCAGGGAGATGTCTAATGACCAGCACTATCCAGTTTCATTATGGTAAATGTATGATCCAGGGCTTTTGGATTTATATACGGACTAAAAGGCAGAATAGGTATCTCTCATGTGCCCCACAATGTTAAGGAAGTCATTATTAAATCATAGGAATACCCCTTTAAGCAAAAAAGATCCTCCTAATTGGAATAGGAAATGTCACTGTAGGTTCACTCATTTGAGCACATATAATTCCTTCTTGGGGAACAAAGAAACATCGGTGACTTGACGTATCTGTGCTATATCTGGCAGTAACTAGGACAGCTGTTTGAAGCAGTGGCTATAAGGTTTCATCATATCCACTGTTGAGAAAGAGTAAAAGGACATTTTATCCTGCAAACCTGGAGGAAATCCATCCACCAAATCAGTCTCATTAAAAGCCAGATATTGGACTTGACATCATTCTGGGAGAAGGTTGCGTTTGCTGGTGGCCTGTGTAACAACCTGTGTGACCATGTTGTTCTGGCTGTTGTTTGGCCAATTGCAATGCTAATGCTACACCGTGAATTGCCTTGGCTCCTATTCCTTTGTAAACAGTAGTTTAAAGTTATAGACCCATCATTTCATAAGCCTCCTCATCTAGTATGTTTGGCCAAGGGACCACACCATTGCAGTTGAGAATGAATTTCTTCCAGCAGATTCAGGGGGCACTAGAATTTAACTTCCTAAATAAAAGCCAACGGGATAAATGCTCCCTTCTGGTGTTGTCATGATGACTTAATTCTTGTGCCAACGTCAATGTGAATGTTTAGGCTGTCATTCCAGTTGTTCAGAAGAACTTTTTACCTTTACACCCTGCAAGGGAAAATGTCACTTGACATGGAGGCTTTGACTTAGGACCAGGTTTTGTGATACATCCATGTCAAAATTATCATTTGTGTGGTCATAGTTTTTAGATTGCATTTTTAGCACATTGGTGGGTTTCTTAATCTTCAGTGTCCACTCATGGAAGTAGTTTTTGCCTGTTAAGAGCTAATTGAAGTTAGGGATAAAATACGTTAGCATATCTTCAGTCTTCATTTTTTTTGGTGGTTTAAAAGTGCTATAAGCCATGAAATAGGTATTTCTTATTCATTCACCAATTTTTGACATGGTTCATCAGTTTCAACAAGACATTCAGATTGCATGATGTCACACTGAGAACAAATACTGATTATTCAATAACCAGTGCTTTCCACTTGGTGTCTGCATCAAGTTTATATACAGTAGGTATCCTCTTGCCCCTGCTTGAAAATCCCCAAATCTATTAATGGAGGGAGAATAGCCAGCAATAAACAGTCTAAATGGAGTAGATTTGGATTTGACGATCTGAAGGTCATTTGACATTTGGTGACATTCAAGAATGTTTGTTAAAAAGATGGAAACATTTCATATACATAGTACCAATCTGAATTACTTAAATCATTATTTTTGTCTTTCCAGGTGCCAGTTCCCTCAGAACAAGACAAATCTTCAGTGAATTACACATCTGTCCAAAGTTAATTTGGGAGAGTGACTTTGAAGCAGCAAACAACAGCACATCTGTGGATTAATCACATCTGACAATGGTCTTCTATTCAAACGTGGTTTCCTCATCCACTTCAAACACCAGCAATTAACTTCAATATCTAAGCAAACAACCATATCTGCAAACTCCTTTTACTTTGGCTTCTTCTTTTACTGGACCAAAATCAGTGTTGTTTTGATTTTAAAAATATAGCTACTTTGGCGTGAGGGTTTAAATATAGAACAACAGTAGATAAGCATATACCAATGAAGTCATTGATTAACTCTCAAATCAATCACAGCCTTTACAGAGAAGCATGATGTTCATTGTGACTTTTGCAGTGACTCACGTTTTGAAACAAATTCTTTCTGGTGCAAAGTTACAGACACTGAAAACTGCATCATCTCTATGACTTTATCTATGTAAAGTGTTATTGCTGTAGCAGTAACTTTTGATAAATCCTGAATCCACTCCAATTATGAGGCATGAATAATTATGGGTTCATAAAGAAAATTCAATTTTACCACAAAGAACCGCTGTGGTATCTACATTAGCATGGTGACGACCATAAGGGCCCGTTCTATGTAAGGACACTGAGCTCTTTATCTACAAGGCTGTGTAGTAAACACACATAAAAGCACAAGGGGCTACTGTTATACAACGATTTGTATTGCATTCATGACCTTTCTGAGACATCAGATGACAGTGTGGTTAGATTTAATCATGGATGTATTAATGGATTGAACAGCAAATCTTCCTCATATTCTTGTATTTCACAAAAGCACCATCAGTTAATGTAGCTAATCTATGTTTGAAAATTTTTACTGGCCAGTTGTTTGTGTTGCATCGTCTCTTCATAGCAATGTATGGACATTTTCATCAGACACCCTGCCACCTCCTCCTCCATATGTTGTATGAAAATGTGCTTTTAAGAATAAAAGTAGTTAAGGGATGCATGCCTGCACATGAGGCGTTTTGTTCTGAGGGTAGTGTTTTGTTTATTTCTTAAAACAACAGAGAAGACGTGCTCAGCTTGGGTTAGTTGGAGGCCAACTAAACTATTATGTAATACTCGAAACCTCACGTCACCGGGTTCCCCATCGGTACAGTTGACATGTCTACACTACTGTACTGCAGCGTACACTACACCATTTGGCTTCTTGACTAACGCGGTGTCCTCAGCTAGCCACACATTTGGCTGTGGTCACGTTTTTCAGCTGCTGGTTGCACCGACCTATCACACGCCAAGGAAGCTACCATGTGGGCAGACGGAGCAGGCTAAAAGCTGTGACGTGTCTGGTACACCAGACATAGCCACGCCCCTAAACACCAAATATGGCATACTGTCTGTGAGAATAACAATCCTTTTGCATTTCTGGCACCCCAAGACAATTATCTGTCGGTGTGCAGAAGAATTCGGGTCGCCGGTAGTTTATTTTTGGTTAACGCTGGCAGAGGACAATCAAACTGCAATGACGTACGGCTGTCGCCACCGTGCTTCGCATGTGACCGAGCAGACAGGGGAGGAGCGGTCTATCGCGTGTACGGTACCGTGTAACACCGAATTCTAGCTAACGTAGCAGGGCAGGGGCAGCGGCAGCCAGACCGAGCAAAGGAAGTCGTATACACAAGCACTTACAACCCGGTTGCAAGCTCGTATTCCTCAGTTTGGACTACAGTGTCGTTTGAACGGCGCCAAGGACAAAGTATGCATATTCTGTTGTGATTTCTTTAGCTACCTATGGGTATGTAGTTTATAACCCTTTAATGTTAGCTGTCTTTCTATGTAACCGTTGTTAACATTAGCGCTTAACGTAGCAAACCAGACTGCTAACTGTATCTGTGCCGTCGTTTTGTTTGCATTCTTTAAGCATTCAGCTGCTGTTACTACCTAAATAAGCCATAATTTAGTTAGCTACCAAATGTTTACTCAACTTAAGCTAGCTGCCTTCTTAGAGCATGCAACATAATTTTTTGTGGTAACTTAGGACTGTAACTGCGTTAACGTAGCTTCATACTGACGAACGTTCTTTTATCTTGATAAGGATATGATAACGTTAGCTATCACTTTCGATGTTCTCATTACATTGATCGCACAAAACTAGTGATAATATACCGTATGTGCTGTTTTGTAAAAAGATGCGTTTGCTTTATCCATTTATATAAAATCTTATTCCATATTCTGTCATTGACATGAAAAGTAAGTGTACATGGTGTTGTTTGATTTCCAGGTTTTAACCTTTGATATGCTGGTGTAGTTGTTCTGGGAGCTTGTTGGACCACCAAGGACATTGTCAGTACAAAGGGAAAGCAAGGAGATGAGCACCAAGAGGAAGGCAGAGAGTCATTCAAGGGCAGCAAACAGGCCACTCATCATGAAGTGTGGAGACTCCCAGGTTGATTCGGAGAGAGACTCTGGATTCTCAGGTTCAAACTTGCTCTTGCCACAGTTGTACCTCTTTTATTTATGATATCACTTACGGTACCTAAACTATCGTTGCGTTTCTTCGTGGTCTATAGATGCAGGCTCGGAGCACATGAGTGCAATGGACACCACAGACTCGGAGGATTCACCTCACCCTGTTGCGCAGCAGGGGCCACAGACCTCTCAGCTGGCTGTTGTGGGAGGCTCTTACTCCAGCCTCTCTCCCATGATCATCATGAACAATGTCCTCCTCAAACAGGTACACAACAAATCCTCAAGCCTAAAACATCAAACCTTATCTTAAATTCTATGTGTGTTGATGAATTCATTCTCTGCTTCCGCTCAGAGGTTCAACCCGCAGTCATATAATCTGGTTGCAGTAGAAAAGTAGCGGTCCAGTTTTTGATGCGGTGATGACCTGATTAGATTTTGGTGGTTAAAGGTCAAAGTCAGTGACCTCGCTTCTCTCTCATACCTGTGAATATGACTGGTTGGTGGTGGCATAGAACTGTGAGATGGTAACTTGACTTTGAGCCTGTGTTTAAGTTGATAGCTTCATAGTTCTGTCACAGCTTTCTGTAATGTGTCACCATAAACGAATTGCAACAGTAAAGTCAAAATGGCTCAAAATTATGTTCAGATTGAATTAACAATGAAAGTAGGAAAACAAGACAAAATGAACAGTGTTTACTTGATTTATGCTTCTGTAGTTGAAGTTTTTGTGACAAAGACTGTGACCACAAACATTTTGAACACACCAGTTTTGTGTGACTGTAGCCTTCTCTGAATGAATGTAGCTGCATCCAGCGCTTCTCCAGACCTGGGATGAACGTGGGTCAGACACTGGCTGTCTTTGTTGACCAGCCTGTCAGGGTTTGGATTTAATTTGGTCATATGGGTGTACAAAGTACTTTCAGTACCTCCAGAGCCATTCACAAGAAGAGAAATGTAAAGCATGTTCATGTGGGCAAGCAAGAGAGAGAGAGTGAGCGAGCTACAGAGAGGAAAAAAGAACCGAAAGTACACCTTTATTTGTTGATTATAGGATGTTACTCTGTGGTTTAACAGTGAAGTGTGTTGAACCACACTGCATACCGGTATCTCAGATAATGGCAAGAACAAGAGTGACCTTTGCCAACTGTCCCATGAATTTATCCAGTGCAGGGTGAGCATGTATATAATACACCAATCTCCAAAGAAAAGCGAGAGTCATCATAGAGCAGTTGATTAGGTGGCTGTGAAGCCATAAGAAGCATTATGGTTGGTATGGCTGAAACCACTACTGATAGTTATCATCAGAAATTTAATTAAAATTCTTGTAATTAATGTTATTTGTTTAGAACAAACGTCAAATGTGTAGTTTATGTCATTGTAGAGTTTAATCTACGGGCTTCCTCAGCCACTGATCAAGAAGTAATTAATTTTAAAAGGAATCTCTGCATTATGGAGATTTCTGATGGGTGTTGATTGCTGCAGTATGTTTAGCGTCTTGTTCTTAATCTCTGTGTCCAGGGTGTTGCAGTTCCCCACTCATGCATATAATCTTAAATAGGGAAATGTGTGTGAGGGACCCACCTCAATTTTGACTCTGTTGCCTTTGCAGCCTGGAGACAGTCCTTCTGCTCTGAAACCCTGGAGGTTTAGTCCCACAGTGGAGGTGGTTCAGCCTGTGGTCCAGCAGCCTCAGGTGGTCTTCCTCCAGCCTATGGTATCTCGTCAAGCTTCCCCTGCCTCCAAAGAGGCCACCTCTAGACATCGACGCTCTAAGAAGTATCTCCCAATCTTGAAATCTTATCCCAAGATTGCTCCACATCCTGGAGACAGCTCCATTTCCTCAGGGAGAGGAACTGCTTCCTTATCTTCCTCCACCACCACCTCTTCTTCAGGATCAGACAGAGGTAGCAGTCTGACCTCCAGCTGCTCAGAACACTGTCAGAGAGAAAAGCAGCTGAAAAGTCTGTGTGATAGTGTTAGTAACTCTCGCTCAATCACTCCCAGTCTTCCGGTTACCCCCAGTGCCATGTCTCCTCTCCCCACAGCAGCAGCCAGTACCAGCAGTAGTCCTGTCAGGGAAAGGCCCTCATCAACTGTCAGCCCTGCAGAGTTTACCACCTCCCTATCTTTCACTCACACCACTGGCTCCAAAAATCAGACTCTCCCTGCTCCCCAGGTGGTCACACAGGAAAATGTCTCATCAAAAGAACATGACCACAGTGACAGTGATGCCGACACAAAGAGGAAGCGCTTCTGCAACACTTACAACATCCTGAGTAAATCTGGCCTGCTAGACATCACACTCCGCACCAAGGAGCTCCTCAGGCAGAACCGACGCACCCAGAATGACCTAGACCGGCTAAAAGAACATACGGACCTCTTCCTTCAGGCTCTGCAGAGCGGTGACATGTGCATCTTTGTCAAGCTGCAGGCCAGACTTCTGGAGGAAGACAAAGAGAAAGAGAAGGAGAAAGCTGCTCAGACCAGCTTAAAGGCAGATTAGACCTGGACTAGTCCTAGACAGTAAGGCCAGGATTGAGGTTGGAGTATACAGAGACAGATGAACCGAAAATAATGTGCTCTACAATACACACCCAGCCCCAGATTCTGACAGACAGTGTGCTGTGGCCTACATTTGGGCTGCCGCCTGCTTTAAAGCCCTGACACACCAGACCAGCCTCAGGCAGTTGATACAGATAGACATTTCATTGCCTCATGTCTTTCACTTGAATTCATTGGAAGACTATAGCTGTTGGCCAGCTTACCACCAGCTGCACATATGTTCTGCATCTGAGTGAGAGGAAATATTTTAGTCAGCAGTCTATTTGAAATTCAGGAAACATTATGACAAGAGAAGCAAAGCGGTCTATGCTGGGATCTTTTGCCAGTTAGCTGAAATGGGCTTATTATATGATCAGAATACTGATATGCCATCTTAAAACAGTACCTGTAAGCTTTGCTTTGTTGTACTCAATTTAGTCAGTCTGTGGTGTTTTACTGGTGGAAAGAGGAAAGGTGGAGGTGAAAATTTGCTTTACTAGGACAGCTCTCTAATCACCTCCTTTGCTGTTTCAGCAAGTCTGTCGAGCCACAGATATGGGCCGATTAGTTCCATCAGTGGAGGACACTCTGCAAAAACTATGGCTGACGGTCAGAGAGACACTCAGAGTGCTGCCCGGCTACCGGCTGCTGACTTGATGTGTTAGGGAGCAAATGTAAAACAAGGCCCGAACCCCAGTGCACTGACCCTGACAAGATCTCTTTCGCTGAAACCGCCTCACTGCTGTACAAAAATCTTTTGTGCTTTGGCAGTTAAGATGAGAAAGATCTGAGATAATTGGATCTAAGGCATGAGGGGATGTACAAATACTCAACTTTTTTTTTTTTTTTTTACCAAATACACAATACAAGTTAAGAATCTGAACGCATCATTAAAGATGGGATATTTCAATGTTAATGACAAGTGATTCCACGTAAAGCTGAGAAACATGAGTATACCAGTCACTCTGACAACAAAATGTCACCTTGCATAAAGTCAGTCAGTGTTTCAACATTTTTGCATCATCCATGGCAGTTTAAGATATATTCCACTAATACTGTGTTGCTTAACATACATCTGGGTAACAGATCCTGATTATGTACATGTGTAAATAGATTGGAAAAATAGAAATTTGATCACTTTCCAGTGAAATCTACAGCACAATAAAGTGTGCCAAAAGTAAAGGGTTCTGAATACTGCATGTAAAAGCTAAAATCATGACAGACTCAAGGAAATGGGCTCATGTCACACAGGGCCTCTTGACAGTCAGCATCTTAGACAGATATGTCTGTTTTAAAATTTGATGAAAAAGATTTGGCATAGCCTGTTGATGGTTTCACGTTGAGCGTTCCCATCATGTTGATGGTAGCTGTAATACCGTGGAAGTAAAGGTCTTAGCAGCCACATTTAGATGCTTCCCCAGTAACATCACAGCATAAAAGGATGCTTCCTATAATACCCAAAAGTGATTATGTATGAATTTTCCTCCTCTGTTTTTACACACACACAAACGACTATATGTGGTATGTGTGTATGCACAGGGATGTAATTCATTGTCGTAGTACTGTCTAACTTGAGGGCAGTCCTTTTCTGTTATAAGTTCCTTTCTGTTTTGTGTGTATAAAATCATGTGAACCTCTGAGCTGCTTAAGACAACCATCAATTCAGGTTTCTTCATAACAGTAATTGTGCATCAACTTGAAAACATCTGACAGTTGCATCTAAGCTGGGGACAGCTTTTGTGATGCTTTACCTTTTTGTAAGTTTATAAATAACGGCCTTAATATCAAAACCCAGTGTATGTTATAGAGTTTTGCATTTGCACTAAATTAATTGTAAGAGTAGCTCTGAAGCAGTTTCTGGGCACAATTAAATGGCAGCTATGGAAGCTCATTTGAGGCAGAATACACAAATCATTTTTGTTTTTCATATGCAATACCACCAGTGTATAAATACTGTTCCTGTTGTATAGCCTATGCATAACATTTACAGTGTTAGATTTAATTATTACTCTCGGTAAGAAGTAAACATGTTTTTGCATATTCTGTGTAAAGCGCCATTTCCAAAAAGTTGGGATGCAGTTGTCAAAAAAAGAAAATTCAGTGCCAGCCTATGAAAAACTACCTTTAATTGAAAGCTGTACAAAGAAAACCTATCAACTGTTCAAACTGTTTTTTGCTTTTTCTTTTTTTTTTTGATAAATACATGCTCCTTTTAAATGTGATGCCAGCAACACACACAAATCTGGGATAAGGGGCATGTTTACCACTGTGTTGCATCACCTCTTGTTTTAACAACACTGTACAACTGTTTGGGAACTGAGGAGAGCACTGATTTAGTTTTAAAAGCAAAATGTTTTCCTATTCTTGCTTGATATGGGATTTCAGCCACTCAACAGTTCAGGGCCTCTTTTGTCATACATTTCACTTCACAATGAGCCAAGTGTTGTCAGTGTGTGACAGGTCTGGACTGCAGGCAGGATAGTTTAGCACCCGGACCCATTATATCGCCATGCTGTTGGAGTACATGAAGAATGTGGTTTGTCATTGTCTTGATGAAATAAGAAAGAAGAAGGGATGAATGCATGTTGCCGTAAAGCCTGTATACACTATATTCATTTCACAACTTGTGCAGTCTTTTTGTTGCGCCTGTCCCAACTGTTTTTATAACACGTTGCTGGCCTCAAATCATAATGAGCTCCCATAAACCAAAATCCATAAATTATATTTGTACAATATATATCTTTTTACTGTTAATCGAATATGGGACAAAAGCAGTTTTCAAAACATTTCTTTCAGTTTTTGTTTACAATTTACATAGTTTCCTGACTATTTTGGAAATGGGGTTGTAATTAACTACATAATATTCGATGTGATGATGATGTACTTGCTGTGCTTAACTAGACTAGCTCACAAGGTTTCATCTGCTCCTGCCATCTTAAACCACATACACGTGACCTTAAATACACTTTATTTAAAAAGTTCACATAGATTTGTAGTGGTCATGGCTTCAATCTCAAAATGTTCTGCTGTCTTCAGCACACAACATTTGGCTTCTTTTGTGTATATGACTTGTAGGTGTCTGGTTGCATATCTCAGCTATGTTTCTTTGAGGGAGCTTGAGCACAGTGATTAACTGCAGCTTTTATTTGGAAAACAGACTGACACTGCAACAGTTCATCTTCATTAGTCACAATCAGTGACTGGTAGATGGTGTCTTTCAACAATAAATGCTGTAAATTAATCAGTGTTTGTTCTTACACAGTCAGAATCCAGGTTTAATGTGTGTTTACAGTCGCTGTCCAGCTGGAAAACACCCAGCCCTCTGCCTGATGGTTTGAGGTTGCACTGAAGATGTTTGAGGTCATCTTATGTGCTCCACCCTTTCCTGCAGTGCACCAGTTCCTCTGGCAGCAAAACACTCCTCTATGCATCGTTCAGCGTTTCCCCACTTGACATAACTGGATATTGTGGCCAGATAACTTATCATAAACCCTTCCAAAGTTTCTGTCTG